GGGAAGTACTTATGATTAAGACTGGTGACATCTCTGGAGCTTGTATTCTCCTGGAGAGAGATATACAAGCAAAAAGTAAACAGTTAAATATGATCAAAAGTATACTAGAGCATGTATTAAGTCCTATAAACAAAATAAATAGGGTGAAACAAGAGAGAAGATCTGTAGGTGCTAATTTTTAGGGGGTTCAAGGAGGGCTTTATTAGGTGAAATTTGATCTGAAACTTGGACATGCAGAGAACTCGAGGACAAGAATTCCAGGCAAAGGGCAAATGCAAAGGCCCTGTGGTAGCAGCACTATGATCTGTTTGATGAATAGGAGCAGGAGCTAGTGGGGCTGCAAGGCAGTGCACTCCGAGGAAGGATGCTACAGACAGGGCAGTGAGGAAGGCAGGAGCCACACCACGGCTCAGAGCCATGGCAAGAGGTCTTGCTTTTTTTTTTTTCTTTTATTTATTTCTAAATTAATTAATTTATTTGTTTTTATTTTTGGCTGCGTTGGGTCTTCGTTGCTGCGCGCAGGCTTTCTCTAGGTGCGGTGAGCGGGTGCTACTCTTTGTTGCGGTGCGCGGGCTTCTCATTGCGGTGGCTTCTCTTGTTGCGGAGCACCGGCACTGGGCGCACGGGCTTCAGTAGTTGTGGCTCACGGGCTCTAGGCGCGCAGGCTCAGTAGTTGTGGCGCACGGGCTCTAGGCGCACAGGCTCAGTAGTTGTGGCGCACGGGCTTAGTTGCTCCACCGCATGTGGGATCTTCCCAGACCAGGGCTCGAATCCGTGTCCCTTGCATCTGCAGGCAAATTCTCAACCACTGCACCACCAGGGAAGCCCGAGGTCTTGCTTTTATTTTAAGAGCAATGGGAAGCTTCTGAAGCAGTTGGATTTATATCTAACAATGATGGGTTGGGCTCCTGTTTGAAGAATGGGGTGTGCATGTGTGTGAGTGTGTGTGTGTCAGGGAGAGTGCCAAGAGTGGAAGCAGGGAGATGAGGCTGGAGGTTGCTGAGCAGCAACAATCCAGGTAAGAAATGATGATGGGTCCAACCCCATGGTAGTCCTGGAGGCAGAGAAGAGTGACAAATGCGAGATGTATTTGGAGGTAAATGCAGCTTGCTAAGAGAAAAGGGTGAGGGTAGGAGAGACAAGCATGCAGGTTTCTGAAGTTAGGTGCCATTTAATGGAGTGGGGTCCCGTTCTCCTTTGAGCATTAGGCTAGAGATGGCCGGTGGGACATCTCCCTGAAAAGGTCAGGTAGACAGATGGAGCAAGGTGTTTGGAGCCCAGGGGAGAGGTCTTAGCTACAGATGCAAAGTTAGGAGTCAATATTCTGCACTATTCCTAGCAGACCACCCAGGCACACATTTGGTGATTAATAAATGCTTATGTGACGACTGATTGATAATTGACAGAAAGGGCAAGTGAGAATTTTGCATACCGGAAGATGTTCTGAATCTCATGGCACGGAGCGCTCGGGAAATGCCGGTAAAGAAGGGTGCCAGGTGCCGTGGCTGCTCAATAAATATTAATTTACCACGCTGAATCTCAAGAAAGCCATGGACTATTATTTCAGTAACTGACCCTCCCTGGCTTAACTGGCGCCAGAGCCGTTGTTCAGCCACTTGTTCCATCTGTTCCTCACCCTCAGTATCTTTTTACATGGCAGCTTAATCCCTGACCCAGGAATCTTGCTTCATCACTGCCTTTTGGGTCCTCACATCCAGAGAATACTGTCATTGCTGTGACTCTGTCCCTAATGACTGTCTCAGAACTTGCTCTCCACAGATTTCTGAATCTGCCATGAGTCATCAACAGTGAGTACCTCTGATGTGCCAGGTACCATTCTAGACACTTGACACATAGATCCCACTTATAACACCCTGCACAGTAGCTGTTTGCCCTGGGGGTAGACCTTAATCCCCCTGAGAGAGTAAGTGCTTGGTTCTAAGTCAGGTAGCTGGAAAGTGGTAGAACAAGGATTCAAAACAAGTCCAGCTTACTCTGCAGCCGGGCTTCCCTTCCTGGGTTTGCAAAACTCACTGGATTTCACCTGCTGAATCAGTCTGTACCCTCGATTGCCTAGTTCTCCAACAAAGTCCATTAGGCAGTTGGTATCCATCGAGAGCCAGCAAGCATTCAAGTCAGGCTGGCCTGTGTCTGTACACTTGAACGACAGTGTTCCATGACTGTAACTGCAGACTCACTTGGTGCTCTAATGTGGGATTTATCACTTTCAGTGGGAGGACCCGAACCTGAGAGAGGCCCATAGCCTGGGAGGTTATTAGTCATCAGAGAAACAAAAGAGATGGAGTGTGTTGGAGCAATACAGCCGGGCAGGCTTGCCAGGGGCAAGGTGGCTGAGAGGAGAGGGGCTGGAGACTAAGAAGGAGGGCAGCAAGGCTGTGTCTAAAGTAAAGTGAGGACTCAGTGGCTAGCTGAGGGATAAGATGGCAAAGACACAGAAAAAATCATAACTCATTGTTCAAAAGAAATAGCCTTTATGGCTTTATGTAAATGTGTTAATAAAGCTTCAGTCTTTCTGGCCACACACTCAGACTCAAAGTCTTCATTAGGCATATCCCCGAGCACGCAGGTGTGCTATAAGGCACAGAGCCGTCTGCTAAAACACCCTCTGCAGCAGGAGTGGATTCACCAGCCACTACTCCTTCACTAGAAGGAGGCCAAGTCCTGGGAGGCCGAGCAGTGTGGGCAGGAATTATTTGCACAGGAGGACAAAGGGCCCTGAAGCTACCCCGGCTGGCGCTCGCCTCGGCAGCACCTGTTCCTCCAGCACACTCGGCCCTTTATCACCTGACATCTGCCTGGCTGGATAGGCCCCATGCTGCCTGCTGAGGAAATGGAGTTGATGAATGTCCATTTTGTGTTAGGTTTCCTGGCAGAAATGAGATATGGAATTCCTAGAGGCAAGTTACCTAGGAATCCAGCAACCGCCAGGCATAACTTATTAATGAATCAGATTGATAAAGGTCAAAATGTGAAAAGCTTGGTTTAAAAGACTAGAAAGAAGGATGAAAAAAGCTGTACACACGCCATATCCTTTAGTCATAGCAGATGGTGGTGGCTTGTGGCTCACAGTTCTGCTTTGCTAAGGCCTCTGGGGCACTTCCTTCTGATGCAAGTGTGACATTAAAGAGATAGGCTGTGGACCCTCAGCCCATAGGATGTCTGAAGAGTTTCAGGGGAACCCTGTGAAGAGCCTTCATGAAGCTAATCTGAATCAACCCATCTCCACTGCTAATGTTCCACCTGGCTTAGAGGACAACGGACATGGTTCCAAGGATTTTGAGAAACAAAGAGGTGCTCGGACTCTTTCTCTCTCTCTCGCTCTCTCTCTCTTTCTTTCTATTTCTCTCTCTCTTTCTCTTTCTGTTTCTTTCTCTCTCTCTCTCTCTTTTACACACACCCATAGATAACATCTTAAATATATCTTTAATTACATACAATTAATATGACACTCAAAGCACCAATAGCTAAGTTCTCTGCTGTATTCCCAATACCTAGATCTAAGTCAGAACAAAGCAGTCTCTCTCTCTATCTATATATTATATATATATAAAATAAATGAACAAATGAATATTTACTATATCCCCTTGGGTTTCAAGTTCTAGTGCCCGACCTTACCAGTATACTTTTTATTAATACCCCTAGGAAGAGACTTTAGCTGTATTTTAATTTTACAAACATTCTTTTCATGGAGACATTTAAACTCCTCTAACTCCCTACACATGGTTATATTTTTCCTGATGGCAAAATACTAAACGTAAAGTAGGACTGAAAGAATTTTTAACAACTTGTTTCTTATTTCTCACCCAAAATACCCTAATTAAAGCATCTCTTTAAAAATTTTGTATTTATCCTATATTTCTCTTACTTGGATATTATTTAATAACCAAAAGACAAGTCAGCAGGGTTAGTGATGGAACAAAATCGTACCACCAAATAAAGATTTGACCTCATCCTGGATTTTTCCTTACAGATCAAATATTTTCTCTTCTCAGGCTATATTTCTGGGATGAGAATGTCCACTCTATTAAAATTCAGATTACTTGATGAACTTCAGTGCCCTTCAACAGAAGTAAAATTTCACATAGAAACACTTATTAAACAGTGGTAAGTTGGCTCTGGGTGTGGGTACATATGTACCTAAGTCTTTGAAACAGATTCAAAACCAGATCCAGTCAGTCTGCCAGAAAGTACTGATGTTCGAGGAAAAATCTCAAGATTGTTGGAATTAGAGCCTTTCCCTCTGATAAGGCAGATGTGACACTTTAAAAGAAATCTGCTATTCTGTGTTTAATCGAAGTCATAATAAGAAAAATAATCAAGGACCCATGGACCTTTGTTTGAAGGATATTGGTCTGGCTATTAAAGCACCTTGTCAGCATAAAAATAGAAAACAGAGCTTCAGTCCTGTCCTTCAGATCTTGCTGGCATCCCAGATGATAAGAGAACTGATGAGTAAAGGAGGGATAGGGAAAGTTCTGTGCCTGGTAAGCATTTTTATGAGTCAATATATTTTTAAGCTTATCTCCAAGAATAAAAACCCAGTCACTTTTCTCGTAGGGATTTTTTTTTTAATATGACAAAATGTAAAGGTTTGCTAAATATGGGTGTTGAGAGTATCCAGATATTTATCATTCTCTGCATTTTGTCTTTTGGAAGCATTTCATAATAAAAAAGTGATAAAAGTATCAAAACTGCATGAACAAAGAAAACAACCAGAACACACATTTTGGAGAGTTTACAAAGGATGCTTAATTTGCCTCTGCAGTAGTGAAAAATGTAAGACTTCTGATTCCAAGTTAGTATTTTTCAAATAATACCTGATTTCAAAATATAGACTATTTAGATGTTAAGTTTGGTGACACTTTAACAAACATTAAAAGAAATCAACTCCCAGGAAATCTGAAGGTCCTCCAATATCAACAAAGTGCGGACCATTCATCTTATTTAACGGGGTGTATTGGAAATAGCTGAGTACTGACCTCCCCAGGGCAAATGATCCTCTTGGGACGAGGGGCCTCTTGCTGTAACTGATATACTGCCAAATATAAAAAGAGAGAATTATAATTAAAGAGCATTAGCACATACCAACATGTCTTCAAACAGTTCCACCTAACCACCTTTCAAGAACTGCAAATTTCTCAACCAAAAACCAAAGGAGATACAGACACATTTTTAGACGAAATAAAGGCAGATCATTTATATGGAAATTAGTCACAATGAATATAAATGGGCAAAATTGATTTTTAAAAATTCTTATAAGGACAATTTAGTTTCATAATTGTTACTGGCATTGTTCATGTTATGGCTTTCTTGGAAGACTAGATAGGACTAAAATTCTTTCGACAATTTTAAAGATGAAATTGTAGTTGTGAGTACCTGGGTAGTAAGATCATGTAATAGGATTCCTGAATCTCAATGCTGATGTTTTTTGACATACCAGGGAAAGACTGGCATTAGAAGAGGAGTGGCATTCTCTGAAATGTTACAGTTATGGGTAGAGACACAGCTGATTCTGTGAGTGAATGAAGCCCCAACTCACTTCTCTTTTCACGAGTTCCATTTTTGCCCTGTCCATCATCATGGATACTTATCTAATTGACTATTTCCCACCCACTGTCATTCCTTTTGCTTGGGCCCTTTAGTATCTTAAATAATAATAACTCTCTTATATCCTGTTTTAAAGACAGGCTTTCAGGCTTGGGCATGGAGGGAAGCAGGTAACTGTATACAAAAATGTAATTTATCAGAATATTATTTGTAATTTTTCAGACTATAATGAGCGATTTTCTGCTGCTCAGCTAGTTTGATTACTTCTCTTAGAGGAAAAGCTACTCTATGCAGGTACCTTGGGATTCTACTTCCATGGAAATAGAGGTTGAAAATAAACCTCCTTGATGTTATCTTCAGAATCTTGAAGAGGGAATAATTAATGTCAAATAAATCTATGAATCATATCATAGAATACATCTATGAAAAGTTAAAATCTAGATCACATAAAGTCTTCTAGAAAATGTAATAAGAGAAGCAAAAACTTCTGGCTTATTCTTAGGTCTAAAAATTAAAAAAAGAAATTTTAATTGAAGGGCAGATGGCCACATGGAAACAGACGTGGAAATGATGGGATGTATTTTGTACCTATGGCTCCCCAATGCCTTCAGCTCAACATGGTTATTTTCTTACCTAATTAAGGGTAGATGACTCAGCTTCCTAACAGAGAAGAAACCATCTAACCCTCATATGGATGTTTTAACGTGTCGCATTTCTAAGCTTAGGTTGCCCACACTAATGATGATGCCTGTGTCACTTAAGGACAACTGTAGCCATGTATCAGAGACAGGTCAGAGAAGGCTTCTTGTGCAGGAGGAAATATGAGGAAGAACTGGCTAAAAGTAGAGAAATAGTTTTGGACATTCCACTGACTCTCCCACTAGAGCCCATGCTCTCCTTTAATCACGACAGAGTCTGCATGGAATCCTTTATTCCTCTCGAATGAGCTCCAACACCAACTAACTGCTTTTCAGCAGGGTTTTGCTGTTCATGAGTGTAAAGGGAACCAAAGGGGGCATCTCCTAGAATCACAGAGCTTTAGGGCAATTGCAGAACCCACATCCAGAGAATCCTATCCTCTCTTCTCTTCCCATTGTCAATGCCCTCGGAAGCCAGCAGTTATATGTGGGGGGCACGGCTGGAACAGTTTTGTGAACACCGTTTTTAATGCTTCCCTCGAAGGTGGCAAAGTATGTACAGCTGTTATAAGAGAAGCATTTTAAGCTAAGCGCACCTTTGCAATTCACATCGGCAAATATCTGAACATCTGCCGTAGAACAGATACCACAGCCAGCATTATGTGGAGGCTGTGAGGATGGAGGGGAAGAGAGAAGAGAAGGGAACCAGCGTATCGAGTACCTGTTATGTGGCAGGAGCAATGTCTTATTGAACCTTCACAAGAGCTCTGAGGACGGAACGTATCATTACCATTCTCATTTTTTATATGAGGAAATAAGTGCCCAGAAGTGAAACATTTGCCCCAGACCATTCAGCTAAAATGTATCCTTTTGATTCCAAAGCCCAGGTTTATTTTTCTATGCCTCAGGGCCTTTGCACTTGCTGTGCCCTCCACCTGGATTGCACTTTCCCAAGACGTTTAGATGGCACTCCTCTCCCTTCATTCAGGTCTTCCCTGACTTGCCCGACTTGGTATAAAATTCCATCCCGTCACTCCGCTACCTTTACACCATTTCATGTTTCTTCACAGTACTCATCACCATTAACATGCTGTATTTGTTTATTTTGTGTGCTGTCTCCCTCGACTAACGTGTAGGCTCTTTGGGGGCAGGGACTTTGTTCTGTCCACTGTGGGACGCTCCGCGCCTAGAACAGTGCTTGGCACATAGTAGATGCTTAATGCGTATTTGTATGCATTGACTCATGGGTCACAAGCCATTCCTTCAAGGACACTGATCCAGCGAGGGAGATACATGTGGAGAAACAAAACCAGGAAGGGCCAAGTGCTTTAATTAAGGGCAGAGGAGGGAGCAGTTCTTTTTACCAGGTGGTCAGGATGGCTTCCTGAGGGGAGAAGCATGGAGCTCTTCTTGAAGAGTTAGCAGGGTTTCCACAGGTAGAGAAAAGAGAGGGGGGTACAGATAGAGGAAAGAGCCCCAGCAGTAAAAGGGAATGACGTGCTGATTGGTCAGTGATAGTCCAGTGTGCTGTTGCCCCAGGGTGGGCAGATGTGGGAGGAGGCCATGCGGGACTGAACCTTGAAGGTCATGGTAGGAAGCATGGGCGCTCTTCTGTCAGCAACGGGGGGACAGTGACGTGTTTTGAGCAGGGAGGTGACATGATCTGGTGTGTTTCAGAATAATGACAATAAGGATAAGACTGTTCAGAAAAATAGAAGTTCTCATTTTCTGGAGACCTACTGTGTGCCAGACACCTTATCTACATTTCCTCATTTACTCCTCCCAACAAACCTCCAAGGTAACTGTTATTCTCCACCTCAGTGACAAAGTAGTGGAGACGTCAAGCTGTGAAGGAGCTCAAGGTCACGCAGATAATATGATGAAATCAAGATTTAAGGCCTGATTTCCAGGTCCCAAGGTCTATATTTTTCAGCCTCACCAGTGGCCCCTAAAGCAGATGGTGGAGAGGTCCCAAGTGGGGCTGCTTGCATTAGAATCTTCGAAGAGCTAAAACATAAATTATATAATTATAAAATACAGATTCTCAGACACCATCGTCTCTGGCGATGCTCACTCTGCCAGCCTGGCAAGGGGCCCCGAAATATGTTCTTTTTAAAGGTCTTTGGGAGATTCCAATACACAGTCAGGAGTGGGGGCCACTGTCCTTTGCTTCACTGAAGGAAGGATCGGAGGGGGATCCTTGGAGGCAGGGAAGCAAAAGAGGACTGTATTTTAGTTGTACGTAAAGGAGATCCTGAAAGTGCGAGTTAGGACAACACTATGAGGAGGTGAGTTGATTGCAGAGAAGGATGGCCAGGGCTGGATTACACACTGAACGGAGGAAAGGGCCTTGAATGCTTGAAAGATTGAGACACGATTAACAACCACAGAGGTTACAGGAGAAGGAATGTAAGGGACAGTTCCTCTCCTGTGTCAACAGGCTAAAGCCCTTAGCTGTATCCTCTGAGTAAAGAGAAACATGGTCATTCACCAGTCTTACAACTGGAAATAGCCCCAGCTAGGAGTAACTTTGGTGGGTGGGTGGGGGGGGGGGGTCCCTGAAAAAACCTCAAGCCAGGGGTGCCACCTCTCCTTACTGGTCTCTGGGCAGCACACATCATTAATCAATCATTATTTTTCAGTGAGCAGGTCTCAGGATCTACAAAATCTGCTCAGTGCTGTTCCAAGCAATAGAAACTGACACAGCCTGTTTGCCATCTGAATAATATGTCTCTATAAAGATAATGAGATGACAACCAATTGCCATGGCAGCCAGAGAAAAAAATGGGGCCCTACACTCTATCTCAGCTTCAGCCCCAGTCCCTCATTTTCAAGGTTGGCTATAATGAAACAAACATCCATGAGGCCCATTTAGTATAACTGAAACATGTCACATAATCTTGAAAATGTCATTTCTTGAATTTTCTTTGTTCAACAAACCCACGTCACAAGCAAAAGGCAATAACAAATGTCACTGCTTGGGTGATTCTGTGCGCTAAGGGGCGAGATGACGGGCTGTGCTTCTGAGGCAATGCTCCAAATCTGTCCCAGGCACTCCCTAGCCCTGGGTCCTTGCAGCACAAGAGAGAATTCTTACTCTGGAATAAGCTGTTAGGCAGGTGGATGGGGTGGGGATGGTCACTAGGGAACGTGGAGGTCAGAGAAGGGGATCCCCTGCTCCCCAGGAAACCTGGAGCCGATTGAGAAATCAAGAGCTCACTGAGGGAGTGTTTTATTTTTTTCTTCAGTAAGAAAACTCGGCTCATCCTCTGGTAACACAACCCCATGCAGACCGAGTGAAAGCCCTGGCCTGAGTGATGCTAAGCCCAGTCCAAACCCGTCAGCTCCTAAGAGACCCTGCAGGGATGTCCTCTAACAGCCACTTATCACTTAAGAGGGCATGTGGATCCAGGAGCCGAACCTGGCCGCTTGGCTGTGACACTGACCCAGCACCACCCCGCTCACTGCCCATGTCTTCTCAGTTTTCATGGGAAAAAACTCACGGGTGTGAGTAAGAAATAGCAGGGGCTTTCAACGGCCTCTTGGCTGAGCCCCACTTCCAGGCAGCTGTGTGCAGGCCTTGTCTTGCTAACAGAATGTCCGGTCTTACTGGGGATGGAGTTCTCCTCTCGTCCCGTGGCACAGTGAAAAGCCTGAGGATGAGGCTGTGTAGACTTGAACCAGGGGGTCTCAGGCCTAAGTGTATAAGAAGCATCTG